ATACATGCGGAACCTGGGTTTGTGTTTGATGAATCAACTACGAAGTCATCTTTCTTTTATAATCGTCAGTTAAAGAATAGCATTAAGGTAAATAGAATTGTATTCACTAGCTCACCATTTAGTTGCTTGGATGGCAGGGTATTAGTCTGCGCTTAATTTGATCAGAGAGCAGCAAATGTGAGGGATGATAGATGCCGGTATATTTTGCATGAACCAATATAAAAATGAAAAGACATCTGAAGGAAAAAGGACTTCTTTTGATAGTCAGGACAGCAGGTTTATCTGATTGTCAGTAAACGAACATCTAAACTTGGTTCATCTTTTCTATGGATATTTTACTATTATGACAGGGATGACCGAATAATATACATACATTACCCACAAAAAAATGAGTCCTTAGGAGAAAAGTCAGAGAATAGACAACAACATTTTAGTCAAAAAAGGAAGAGCGTTATATGGTCATAAACAAATGGATTACCCAGGCAGACTGGCTTTTGTTCTCTTTGATTTCTCCTGCATGTCACTGTGAACATGTTGCACATTGGATGTTCAAATACCTAAGTGTGGGTTGCAATGTTTTGATAAGCATTCATGGCAGAAGAAAAATGGAGGACTTAATTTGGAATTTAAATTATATTTTCCCATCTTCTTTTCTGTTTAAATAAATTGTCTAAGTAAGTTCTGTCTTTTCCACTGATTGACATGAAAGATGATGGTGTAGGTAGCATGGGGAGAATCTAGCATGATTGAAGCTGAGAGGTTGCTACTTGGAGCAGCTCTGGAAGATCCAGCTAACCAGAGATTTGTTCTCTTATCAGAAAGGTTCTTCTGTTTTGCCTTCAAATTAGCCTCTGTTTAGTAATTCTTGAGACTCTGTATGATGAAGTTTTGGGGTTCTTATGTAGTTTGTGATGGCTATATTGTGTACTTGGATTTTTGACCTACATGGGGTGGTCAATCCTTTATATGTACAAGTTAGCAGGAATGTTCTTCTTAGATGCATAAATCACAATGCAAAAAGTGGGACTGATACATGGAAAAACAGTAACTGTGTTTGGATCCCCTGTTTTTGGGGTGTTTTTCAAAAACTAGTTTTTCAAATACAACAAAAATTTTTAAAAAGTATCTCAAAATATATTCTAGAAACTCTTCTACTCTTAAATATCCCAAAATATTTTCTAAAAATATTCCAAAATATATTCTAAAAACTCTGCTACAGCAAAGTTTTACAAAAAACACCCCGACCTTTTTAGCTTATCAAGTCAGTTGATTCTCTCTGTCATATTTATCAGCAGCACCTTTTAGCTCATTTAATTTTTGTTTAAATTATTTTTACTTGCTAATTCATAAAATTCCTCCTAGAGACATTGGGTATAGGTAACTTGGATGTCACAGAGTGATTGAGCTGGGTGTTTTATTATTGATGACTAGAGGTTTTTACTCTCTTTGAATACAGCCCTTCTCCTGTTGCTTCTGACTGAATCTACCATTTTCGTTTTGCAGTTGTGTTCCATTGTACAACTTCAGCTATATCTACAACTATCTTATGGCTTCTCCAAGGAGTTTCGTGGACAGGTAAGTGGATATACTTGATCTGCTAGGATAAATGCTGTGTGATTGCAGATTGACTCTTGGGTTTTCTAAATCACATGAGCCTTGTCAAATCTTTTAGGCTGTCTGCCACATAACAGAACTTCCTGAGTTTCTCTTCCATCTTGCAGTTTTCTTGATAACAAGGAAGGACGCTATAATCAGAAGATGGCACCGGTTATACCTAAGAACAAATGGCGGAAAGGATCACAGGTAATTCCCTTCAATCCTGATTTTATGTTTTTCTATCTTTGACACGATTTCCATTAGTATGTTAATTGTGTACTATTTTCCGTGTTTTTTGGATGATTAGGAGAAGCAAATTATGGCTGCTTCATTCTTGTTTTTCAAGTAAGGTAGTCTGATTGATTTAGGATAACGGTTTATCTACTTCATAATAGTCAGTTGTTTCATTTATGTATTGAATTATGATAATAAGGTGGCATTTATGTTCTTGATTGCCAAATTTGCCACTGCAAAACGGACCCGTCTTCTAAGGTGGCTTCTATAGAAATACACGAATATGCTGGGTGACATCTACTGGTTCCTTCAATCTGTGGAGCTAGGAAACTGTTGTTGTACTAATTGCTAATTTTAGATATAGACTTTTTCTGTGTGTGGCTGTGTTCATATGAAACGTTTTTGCTAATTTGTTAGAACTCTCTCTCTCTCTCTCTCTCTCTCTATGAAGAAGCCAATTCCCTCTGCGGGAAAAAAAATTGAAAAGTCATATAAAAGATGAGAATGATTTCTCTTAAAGAATTAAAGGGTTGATACTTGGAAAGAATACTTCATTTTCAAGGGTAATCTGGCAGTACTAGCTGATAGCTTTCTTTTCATGATTGAGTACTTGGGTCAAATGGTTTGCAAGTAGAACTAATTAACGTGATGGATAATTGCAGTGGATTACTGTGATCCGGAAGCATGCAGAAGTTATTGTAGATGATCAAGTCATCTTTCCAACCTTTCAAAAGTTCTGCAAGGTATGTGAGAGAGAAACCACTTTATTTTATCTTCTCCAGATTTCAATTACCTTTTTTTTTTCTTTAAAAAATAAGCTTCTGACTTCAAATTACAAGTGCTTGAGCTACAGTGTCTTTTACATAAATTTTTTTTGCAAAATTGGTGTAATATTCTAATTTTAAGGGATTCCAATTACATGCTAGCTCACTGTGATTTTCCTATGATTTGTTCAGAGACGTCCTATGGTGGATGCCAGTAAGGGAAAGCTGAACCTTGTAAGTTAAAGAATTTTTGTAATAGCCTGCTCTAAAATGGAGAAGTGCTTCCAGTTCATTTTGGAATTTGGGTCTGAAAAACAGGCCTAGCTGCTTGTTTGCCAGCATTTGTGTCTATGTTTCTAACCTATTTCATTAACGTTTCGCAATAACCATTACAGAAGCTTCAGAAGCAGCACAACTGTATCCCCGATGAACATTACGTGCCGACGTTACTTGCTGTAAGTTATGATTGCTCTTCAATCTATTCTCTTTCACATTTATTGTTTTTGTTTCCGTACAGTATTACTACATTCTTGGTTGTCCGCTCCCTTTCTTTGTCAAGATTTGTTTCTTTGGTTTTAAAATGTTTGCTCCTGATGCTTTGGTTTCCTATAGTTTATTGGCAATCACCTTCTTATTCTGGGCAGATGAATGATCTTGAAGATGAAATTGAACAAAGGCCGGTGACTTATACTTTGTGGAACCAATCTATGAGCAACATGGAAACGAAGGGCTGGCACCCTATAACATTTAGACATGCAGATGCTGGACCTCAACAAATCCGAAGAATAAAGGTTTAATCTTGCGGCCTTTCTGCTTCTGATGGGGTGCTTGACATTTAAGCTTATGGTTAAATGAATGTTTAAACTACTGATAGACAGTTTACATGACGCGTACTCATCACTGAACTGTTTCATCCTTCAATCACTCTTTAAGACATCCATATCAAGTCCCTGTTTTTGAGTGGAGAGCTGACTCTTCTCCTATGGATGTTTACAGGGTATTAACCACGTATACTACGACACAGAATTTAGGACAGAGTGGTGCAGCAATAATGGTACACTGGTTCCTTGCTTTCTATTTGCCAGGAAGTTCTCTCAAGGAGCTGCCATGCGCCTTTTAAGTGAAGGGGTGGTTGGCCAATCTGGTACCCCCTTCATTGCCGGACACTTCGCTCTGAGTTAATTGTACTCCTGTTACTAACATCTCAGGCGTCTCAACCTCACCAAACCATCCAGCTAGTTGCTATCTTATGTAAAATGCTGATGCTACCCAGCGAGGATATACAAAGATTGATAGATATCATACATACAGATAAAAATATATAGCAAGCAGAGATGTTTTTTGGTAGTTGATACTGATATTTAGGGGCTGCCTGTAGATCGTTGTTGATACAAAGCCCAATTACATACTTAGCTGTATGTCCATACTGACATGCGCATGAATTGCCCAAAGCATATGTAGACATTAGAGTTGTTTTAAGGAGACCCACTCCAATTCGTCCACGAATGAACGGGTTTGGGTGTGTAATGAATCTTGTTTAGGTCTAAATGAGTGGTTCAAGTAGGTTTATTTAATTAGTGGGTGTTAGATGATAGCTTGACTTGGATCACCAGTGTGGACCCATTTTATTTTAAAACTAATTGTAAATTCAAACTCATTTATTAGTGGGTGTTAGGTGGAAAATTTTAGATTTTTCATCAATTCAATAACTATTTTTCATCAAAGTTTATCCATCATGTTTACTATTATATTTGTTTTCTTTGATTTTTCTTTTATTTTTGCCTTCTCTTTCTCTCCTCCGCTTCTAAAATTCAAATAAACTCTTCAACTATTGTGTTAATTGATTTCTCTTGCTATACTTTAATATTTCAACTCTTATAGTCTGCCATCATTTGAAGCTCACCATGATCATTATTTTTAGTATGTACAATTTTCATTGATTTTTTTTTTTGCTTTTTATTGGATAAAAGGATTTATTTACTAACCTTGATACTATATGTCTTTGATTTTTTCTTACCGTAATAAAATATTATCATTTCTTGTCGAACGAAAAAATTGTAAGTAAAATTTTAAATAGGTCATAAGTAGGTAAACAGGTAATTCCTATCCATTCAAGGTCATATTCATTTATGATCCGTTTATTTTGATAGGTTGACTTAACTATATCTATCACCCAATTATCACCCAATTATGACTTGTTCGAAACAGAATCACCCAATTATGACCATTCTTATACTCATTCAGGTTGTAAAGAACTTGGAAAGTTCAAAGGTGCAATTTATACTTGTAATTTGTTGGCTAATGAGTTTTATAACCATATATATACACACAATCCTTTACTCCTGCATCCAACTTCTGCAATCCATCATTCCTGCTTTTGGGGGGAAAAAAAAAAAGGAAAGAAGTGGTGTTGCAAATGAAGAAGGCTTTGTGATTTGATAATCTGGGGGATCAAATTGAAGCTCTGACATTTGATTAACTTAAATTTAGTAGGATCACAGTTCCCAACTCAATCGGGGCATTGCTATAAGCTTTGCACCATGACTCCACAATGAGCCTAAGATGATATGATCAGATGGTGGCTTCCTTCCATCCTCTTTGCCTAGCCCGCATCTCCCACATTTCACTGAGCTCTTTTTGCACTTCCAAAGCTGCTTCTGCCTTCTCCCTGGCCTCCTCACAAGTTTCCATCCCGGAATTGCACTTTTCTGCTTCCTTCTGATACTGTGACGTTACTTTTTTAGCCTCCAGCAGTGCCATGTCGGCGCGGTACTGATTTTCCAGAGCTACAGCTTCCCTCTGCTTCAACTCGTCAGACAACGAATCCACATAACTCTTCTCCGTCTCTTCACTCATTTCGGGATCATGTTTCATGCAATCTGAGTGGGGAAATAATCAGCTATTAGTAAGAATAGAAAACCATCATGTTAATCAGCAAAGGGGCACCCTAAAATGTCCTGTTCCTGTGTAAACTGATTTTCTTCCCCCGAAGGAAAGTTCTTTAAAGACGCACTTAATCAACTATGCAAGGGAATGTCAAAGCCTTCTTTCCTAGCATTGCTGCAGAACATGCGAAGTTCCGAGGCGCGGCCTCAAAGGAAATGGATTTTAATTACTGTTGAAAGCACCAAGTTGATATCAGCTAATTCAGCCGGTGATTCTGCTGTATGATGTTGCAAGGAACAGACTGGTATTTAAGTCCTCTGATTCGTTGAATTATCTCCAATCAAGAAGAACAAAGGAGGCCATCTTACACCAAGAATATATAATGATAAAATTTTAATGACAGTGCATCTTCTTCGATCAAAAAAGAATCCTAGGTCAATAATGGTCTCGCAGCAAATTGAGAGCTTGCATCTTTTAAAGTAGACTTCAATCATTCATGGCGCCAGAAATATTATCCTAGACTGCGTTCATGATACTTCATAGGGGAATTGAAGAACTAACCTGTAAAGAAACTGAAGTTCAACCCTGCATGGTAAACAACGAAACCACGTACGTTTAGATCTGCTCATCGCTATAAATACTGCAATGCCTCTAGCAAATTAATCAGACACGTATGTTCAACAAATTATTTCCACACATGGCCGACGACTGTAAACCAAATTATTTCAACAAATTTTTAATGGTTTCATCCGACTATACTCTAGGATGAACCCAGAATAAAAATTCCATTGCACGTGATAGTACCAAAAATTATTTCCAGATGACCAAATAAAAATGGCATTTACGTTCATCATACCCTGAGGTTAAAAAAATTCACTGTCCAATGGCGAAATAACTGTTGGATTTTCACATATTTATAAGATAAACAACCATCATCATTGAGGGATAATTGGTAACATGCTGTACATTTTTGTCTACCTTGTGAGCTGGAGAAAAGGGGTTGATCAGGGCAATCGCAGTCGCAAGGGGGACAAGAAAAGTGGCCTACGGAAGTCAGTGTCTCGGAGAGGTGCCAATAAATTGGCGGGACAGCTATGTAACCGGCAAGGCACATACCCATCAGCCCTGTAGCTAACCTCATCATCTTGGGACTGCATGTTCCCTGTTGTTTGTGCTGTAGATTCATCTGTGTTTCTGGAGTTATACTCGTTAGTTTGTTCCTTTTGCCTATATGTCTTTGCATGGAGATCTTTTGGGATCTGGAATAACGGCGGTTGAGTATGTTACGCTCTGTTATTCTTTACTCTTTATTGTCATCCCATCTAAGCATCTTATTTGGTTTTTATCCCTAGAATTTTGTCTCGGAGCGTAGACACCAAAATTTTACCTTTTATTTTTACTTCATTTTTATTTCTAGTTTTACTAAAAGATCATCTGAGTACCTTACCTCAGTCGCTTGAATAATGGTAAGTCCTATAATCATCATTGATCTTTTTCTTTTTTTTTTCTTTGAATAAAAAAATATCATTTCATTCATAAATCTGCACTAATGACAAAAAAATAATCATAGAATGTATCATAGAAACAACAGATTTGAAAGATTTACATATATACCAGATTGCGAAAATTATAAATAAATCTCCAACCTATTCCAAATGATATCAATCTCTTCGAACTCAATTGTTTTCTAAGCTCGATATCAAGGGACGACTCTTATTTTTCGTTAAAAACCCTTCTTAGACTATTATTTTGGGTCAAAATCGTCGCACTTTTTAAGTCTCATTTTGGGCCCTCCTTTTTTATTTTCTAAAATAAAACCAATTTCAAAATAAAAATTTTCAAATAAAATACATTTTTTCTAACACCAAAATAAATCATTTATTTATTTTTTAAAAAAATGAGAAGCGACACGGAGCAGATTTCGGAAAATTATTGCGAGGAACAAGTCACCAGGAGACGGCTGGCCAGGATAAAATAATACTCCTAAGTGATCGTCTATTTGCTTGCTGGGAAAGAACAGAGGAAGCTAAATATCACTTTTGACTAATTTAAATTGGGAAACCAAGAAAAGCCAGTCCAATAATGCAGAGAAGGAAATGTAGAATGGAGTGCCAAATTGCTAGTATAGGCTCCTCGAAAATACACTGTTGTGTATGTTGAAAGCCATAAGAAGGAAGAAAAAAGGAGAGCCAGTTTTAAGAATTGAAGATAAAAAAGAAAAAATGCACAACTCATCAAGTGCTTTGCATGCAATTTGATACATCAGCGGATATAAGTGATTAAAAACTGTCAAGAGGGCTCAAATATAAGCAACCTCAAAATCAGAGGGCTCAGTCTAGCTGCAAGAGCCTGCATGATATTAAAAAATACAACATAAATCTTGGGCAAGCTAATCAAGCAGCTGCTGGGGGCAAACGGTCTGTGATTTCTCTAATTAAACTTGCCAAGGGTGGCGATGCTGATATTTGCATTGCTAATTCGACTGCCTCTTTGGATACTCCCTCGCTCCAAATATGGTGGATCCAATTCGAACATTTGTACTACCCATTTCAATCTGCCAAAAAAAAAAAAAAACACCACACACAAGATACTTCCCGTAAGCCATGCAGGCGATGAGTAGGAAAGCCTAATACTCCAACCCAAAGACGCGAATGGGGAAAACCAACAAGAAATATGGTACATTCACTTCAAGAAATATATCTCAGTTGCAAATGAGATGCTAACAGCGAGTCACAAGCGAAAATTAACTTACAGCAAGCTCAAAGTCGCCAGACATGCCCATTGACAGTTCACATTGCTCTTCTGTAATTCCAAGTGCCTTGCAGACCTCAGTTCTGCAATCTGCCAAATTCTGCAAGTAAATCACTGCCATCATCAGAAAAATTTAAATGGCACTAGAATAAGAGCAATCCGAGACAACAATTACCGATTTAAGCAAAATTACCACCTTGAAATTTTCTGGGGTGGAAGTATAATCAGCCATTCCTATTGTCATTAGGCCACAAAATTCAAGGTTTGGGCAGCGCAAAGTAACATGTTTGACAAGCTCCACACAACCGGCAGGTTCAACACCATATTTAGCTGCAAAAGGCAGAAAAAACAACTTTAACAATTTTTTCATTTTTCTCCAGCAGAAAAAATTTGTTCATTGCAGTGTTTGTGTCTCAGTGTGTTGATCTGTCCAAGGAACTGTGACCAGCAGCAAATTAAACGTGGCTTCCCATATGCTTCTGCAAAATACTGGAGATCCTACTAAATTAGTGACATACGCTAGTTACCCACATGCTTCCCCACTTGTGTTAACTTGGACAAACACTTTTAAAGGCTTTCTTCCAATGTTTCCAGCCACACGGTCAAGAAGATTGGCAATCTACAAGATCGAAGGACAGATTTTGAGTTCAAGACAATAACAATCACAACAATGCATAAAGACACCGGCAATGATACTCATTAGCAGGTATTGGGTATAATCACAATGCCCATCACGAACCATTGACGCAAGTAAATGTGTTTGTTACTTATCCATATGATCCAGCAACATTTTCTGAACTCCAAGTTAAAAATTTTTTAAGATTCATTATGCTAAAAGTAAAGTCGTCTTTACTATGAGAAGCAACACAGTGATTTAAACTTAATTATAACTAGGACACATGGAAGAAGGGAGGGAATGCTGGGAGGTGCTTTTGCAGTAATCACCTAGGACGAACAGCTTCAACCTTACTCTCTATCAATCATGACATGTCTCAGCATGTAAACCAACCACTTTAGAAAATCTTTGGACCGACAGACTTACTACCAAAGTATTGTCAATCTAGCTAAAGCGTCTCTTAATAATGTAGATACCTTTTGACTCAGCACAATAGCAAAGTGCGAGCACAGAGCACCAAGAACTAACTCTATGAAGGTCTTCACCTATTTGATAAAATCACTATTACTGCTAACATTCATACCTTCTCATCATCAACAGTTTCCACCATGGCAAGATTTGGCACTCCAGCTGGCAAAAAAAAAAAAGAGTGGCTGAGAATCAACTGATAAGAAAATGGCACAGCATATTCAACATACTGGAGAAAGATTATAAATGGGGCAATAAGAAGTTTCAAGAAATACTAGTAATAAAATCCAGACTTCTGGATACCATAGAGCCATTTATTAAACAGATGATCAACCTGAGAGTAAACTAATTAAGCGCGCATCAGTCCGTTCCTGCTGAATTGGCAAATATAATGCTGTATCGGTCTTTCAAACTCTAGATGAATGACATTATGAACCATAAGCAATCAAGTGTCCTATTTAAAGCCCTATTAGCAAAGTACACTGCTTTCAATACTACCTTGAAATGATGAGCCAAAATGCTCAAAGCACAATAGGTTATCTGACACTTAATCATAAATTTAGGTCATCAGTCTAAATTAACTATCCAGTCAGAATGTCAGACAGTAGGTTGAATTGGAATTGCATGTTTAGTTTAAACTTGAATGGCAGGCGTAAAGCATCAAAAGATTTTGTTCAAGAAATTGCTCCAGAATAACATTTTAAATCCTCCATCCGAACATCATATCTTCCCTTTCCAAGTACCCCTTAAAAAAAAAAAAAAAGACTGAGGTCGCACTCAGCCTACATCTCACTCCAACTAAACTCATTTCCTAGAAACTCAAGAACTGTTTTCTAGTTTATCTCCATTTTTTCTTAGCACACTTGCTTTTTTATTAAACCAACGAAATCAAAACCAAGATGCAGTTGCATGTATACATACTCTGAAAATGAGGGAGTTCGGAGTTAGGAAAACATACTTAAAAGCGGCTTCACTTTATTACTCTGCAAATTCCCAATGAAACGCCACTCTATATCCTCCGGTAGCTGCATTTTCACCCAAAAAACATAAATTTTCAGCTAAAGATTCATACTTTCTGTGTACCTATCACACGAAATGTGAGCAAACAAAAAAAAAGTAGAAAAACTCAGCCAAAATACAATCCTTTTCTTTCAAGGTCTTCATTTCCACACCAAATTGGATGTTTATAGTCCATCATCTCGTATTAATCTTTTTGATAAAAATCTCATAGTTCTGCTGTAAATAAAAAATTAACGGGAAACGAACAAACTGAAATACAAAAAAAAAATTCCTCAATAACTAATCCCCACAAAAATCTGAAATTTTTTTTCAAAAAAATAAGCAAGTTAAACTTATGTATAGGGAGGAGCTAAGAAGTAGAAAAAAAACCTGAGGCGCTTTTTCTACGAGTTCCTGGACGTAGTTCTCCCCGAAGCAACGGTGGCCGGCGTCGTAAACTTGCCGGAGAAGTGAAACTGGCTTCATCTTGCTAACAGCGACTACACGGATCCTATCTGACCCGCGTCCGCACCTCTCCGCCGTCTGTTGCACGCGCTGCAGCACCGATTTCAGTGCCGCCGCAGCCACACCGTCCATGGCGGAAGCAGCCGCCATTTCTGAACTCCCACTTTCCGTTAATTTCGGTACGCTCGAAATCGGATTTTGGTTGTCCTGTTTTTCTCTCTCGGCGATTGCTGAGGCTGATTCTGCACTCTCCATTTTCTTTGGGACTTTGGAGCAAATATTGGTTTTATAGGGTCTAAATTTATTTTTTGGTCCATAAAGTATTGCTCATTTTATATTTCTACGGTTTTGATTTTATGTTGTTTGAATTGGGGCCATCGTCCTTTCTTTCTTTGGGTAACAATTACCACCTGGCATCCAAAAACTCATAATAAACCACCAAATAAATAAATGAGATCCATCGCCAATAAATATATAGTTCGCTTTTAATTTGCCTGTATGTGTTGTTTATTTCCGAGAGATGACAGTATTATTTTATCCTTTATTTGGAGGGTAAAATAAAAATTATAAAAAATGACACAAAAAATTTACACCAACCTCTAAAATGTTCAGAAACATCTTTTGTGATAATAAATAAAGTAGTGTACAAGGAAACCAGTGGACGAGATGTATAGCCTTGATAACAATAAAAATTTTGAATCACTACGCTGACCTGCCATCAAATTTAACAAGCCTTACAAGCTCCAACAAAAGGAATGTAAAGACAAGTGCCCCCAGGATGGCGCCATATAT